AAGGCAAAGAAAGAGAGAGTGGCAACCAAAACAAGGGCGAATTGAGCTCTCCTCCGGGACCTGCTCTCACACTGCTCTGCCCGGACACAGCCAAACCTTCTGTGAATGAGCATCCTCATATAATCCACATTGTGTGCTGGCCACGGGGGCCTCTCAGCTGGCCACTCACTGATGCTCATGATGCTGCTGTGTACATTGGGTGCAACGTACTCACCTATAGCTCCATATTAATGAAAATATATTTACATACACACTTCCACCTAGAGCTCCCTGTTCAATGGTGATTTCAAACATACACAAACAAACACATACACATATAACCCTACATATAGCTCAATGTTACTATAAAGCACATACATATAGATACACACAGCTGTACCTATAGCGCATGTCAATATAAAACACATACATACATACATACATACATAACAATATAACACATACACACTACTCATAGCTCCATGTTAATATAAAAATACATGCATACATACATCAAGATATATAAAACATACACACAATTCTACCCAAAGCTTCATGTTAATATAAAACACAAACATACATATAGATATACCACACAAAACTACCTATAGCTCCATGTAAATATAAAACACATACATACATACAACACACACTTCTGCTTGAATCCTCCTGGAGCATGTTACACACATACACAAAACACACATACTCTTTCCTCTACCTATAAGTTCCCTAGTGAGGCAAAACACACACTGGCACACACAAATATACACACCACTTTTTCTTTGCTTGCTCTGGCCTGGAAAGCAAAATACACTCACAAACACACAACCCTCCTTTACATATTGTTCCCTGTTGATATAAAACACACACACACACACACACATATGTAAGTACCCAGCCTTGTTCCTGTTGATGCTGCACACACATATATAAATACCTATACATATACAATTCACCATTCCTGTCCCTGTTGATGCTATAGACACAAGTCCCCACTCCTGTCCCTGTTGGGACTACACAGATACAAGTCACCACTTCTGTGCCTGTTGATGCTTTACGTCCCCACTTCTGTCCCTGTTTATGCTAAACACAGCTCCCCAATCCGGTCCCTGATGATGCTACACTCAAGTCCCTACTATACTGTCCCTATTGATGCTATACACACAGAAATAAATCACCACTCCAGTCCTTGCTGATGCTACAAGTCCCTATTCTTGTCCTTGTTGATGTTACACACACAGATATAAATCACCACTCCTGTCCCTATTGATACTACAAGTCCCCACTCCTGTCCCTATGGATGCTACACACAAGTCCCTACTCCTGTCCCTATTGATACACACAGCTATAAGCCCCCACTTCTGTCCCTGCTGGTGCTACACACAAGTCCCCACTTCTGTCCCTGCTGATGCTACTTACAAGTCCCCACTCCTGTCCCTAATGTTGCTACACACAAGTCCCTACTCCTGTCCCTATTGATGCTAAGCACACAGATATAAGTTCCCACTTCTGCCCTGCTGATGCTACACCCAAGTCCCCACTCTTGTCCCTATTGATGCTACCCATAAATCCCAACTTCTGTCCCTGCTGATGCTACACTCAAGTCCTTCTCCTGTCCCTATTGATGCTTCACACACAGATACAAGTCTCCACTTCTGTCTCTGCTTATGTTACACGCAAGTCCCCAATCTTGTCCTTATTGATGCTACACACAAGTCCCACATATGCCCCTGCTGATGCTATACACAGGTCCCCATGTCTGTTTCTGCTGATGCTATACACAGGTCCCCATTTCTGTTTCTGCTGATGCTACACACAAGTCCCCACTTATGTCCCTGCTGGTCCCCACTCTTGTCCCTATATGTTACACACACTAATATAAGTCTCCACTTCTGTCCCTGCTGATGCTACACACAGGTCCCCACTCTTGTCCCTGTTTATGCTACACACACTGATATAAGTCCCCACTTCTGTCCCTGCTGATGCTACACACAGGTCCCCACTCTTGTCCCTATGTTACACACACTGATATAAGTCTCCACTTCTGTCCCTGCTGATGCTACACAGAAGTCCCCAATCTTAATCGTGTCCCTATTGATGCTGCACACAAATCCCTACTTCTGTCCCTGTTGATGCTACACACAGGTCCCCAATCTTAATTTTGTCCCTATGGATGTACACACACTAATATAAGTCTCCACATCTGTCCCTGCTGATGCTACACACAAGTCCCCAAACTTAATCTTGTCCCTATTGATGCTGCACACAAATCCCTTCTTCTATCCCTGCTGATGCTACTCACAGGTCCCCAATCTTAATCTTTTTCCTATTGATGCTGCACACAAATCCCCACTTCTGTCCCTATTGGTGCTACAGACAAGTCCCTACTCTAGTCTTGATGCTGCACACGCAGAGATATAAGTCCCCAATCTTGTCCTATTGATGCTACAGACAAGTCCCTACTCCAGTCCCTATTGATGCTACACACAAGTCCCCAGTCCTGTCCCTGCTGATTGTACATTCAATGTCTGTGTTCTGTGTGTGGCTGAGCTCCCTCTACATCACCATCCCGCCATCTACTCTGCAGTCCATGCGTGAGCTGAAGATGAACGGCGGTGGGCTCTGCTCACCTATACTACACCAATCCCAAAAACAACAA